TGGTATTTACCGGTGCTATGACTGGATAGGCAACATTGAAGATGTTGATGCAATAATAGGAGGTGGTGTCACTGGCATGCGACAATAGCCATGAATCGTATATCAGATGATGAGAAAAATAATTTTGGAAATAATTTTATTATTGATCAATCTATGATGATAATTCAAAGTACATGATGGAAGATATATATTATTTAAGGATACAAAGAATTCCAATAGAATAGGAATGATAAATTAGGTGTCCCAAAATACAGAATCCTAATATATATAAACATTATAAGATCATATAAGATTGATATCTATCTATGCACTACCGTGCTAGCTAGGGTTCGAGATCCAATTCAGTCCATCGCCGCCGTAGCCCACATCGACAATTGCAGCACCGTCCAGGTACGTACGTACTGCATGCAGGTTTTTTTCCGCAACGCAAATCCTTAGCTTTTAAGTGACAAAACCCTAATTAGTGATCGAATTTGCAGATGGAAGATCAAAAAAATTGAAGAAGATGGACGTCACTTGCATAGCTTCTCTCCCACAAGAGATAATTCTCAAAATTCTCACCAGTCTTCCTCCCAAATCTGCAGTCTCTTTCAGGTGCACTTCTAAATTCTTCCATTCTTCAATTCCTGAGCCGCACATCGCGTTTAGAATATTTGTCGACCCAGAGCCAGGGAACCAGTGAACAAATATGTTTTCCGGTGCAGTCCGGATTTTTTTTGATCCGGTGTCGAAAATGTACAAGGTTTTGAAGTCAGAATTATACTGTAATAAGAACTATTACCATGGTATGTTGAAGATTTTAACTCTTGGGGTGGATGAACCATGGAGGATGGTGACTACAGAAAACTCCTTCCTCCTTTGCAACCCCATTGCTAGTGTTAAATGGACATATTACCCTTAAAATAATTAGTTCATTTATTTTTATTCTTCAACAAATTATAACCACAATTTGGTTCAAATTTAACGACAGTAACCAAATCGAAAGGTTCTGATTACACGACCAGAAACGACTGGTTCAATGTTCCGAACTGAACAAATAAAATACATTTATTGTTGGATTTATATTATTTTAAAAATAAAAAATAAAATTTTAAAAGAAATTTTGAATTTAGACTATTTTAAAAATAAAAAATAAAATTTTAAAAGAAAGTTTGAATCAAATGCAGTCATATATACTTATATGTGAGAATCAAAATAAATGCGAAAAAGTATTTGCAAATATTGTAATGCGAAAAAGAAGAAAATCAAAATAAATGCGGAAAAGTATTTGCAAATATTGTAATGCGAAAAAGAAGGCCCTAGAATCTCCAGGACGCAGCAAACCAGTCGAAGACCTAGAAGATATAGCAGCGACAACAAATGTCTAGAAGATATATATAGCAGCGATAGCTCTTCTTCATCTTCAAGAAGGCAGGAATACGTTTTTAGCGTTGAGCAGACCGATCTGTACCTTAGATGAAATTCCCAAATCTCCACAAAATTTTGACCTAACTTCGTCAATCGGCAATCGATCGTGAAGAAATCTTCCAATCAAGGTTAATTTTCCATCTTGCTCTGCTAATTGTCTCTACTATTTACGTTTGAATTTCACAATGGGTCTTCCTTGTTTAGTCGATGCGATCGATTGCTCTGTCTCAATCGCACACTCTGTTGATCGATTCAGATTCGTCAGTTCTGCAATTGTTGCTGTTTGATATTGATTCATCAGATTTTCATTTGCGTTTGTTGAACAATCTCCTCTGTTTCCCCTCACTGTGTCCACAAAAGATCTCGTCAATGATTCAGGTAGGCGACGTCCTTCATTGACCTCATCGCGAACCTCCTCTACCTCTGTAGCTGAAATCTAGACATTCTGGACTGTTGAGATCATTTCTGGAACATTCTCTGCAGATTCCAGGGCATCTGGAGATTCTGAAAAAGTTCTGTTTCCCTACGACCGAACCGACACCGGCCGCCAGCCACCCTGGTGGAGGGGTGACGCCGCCCCTCCGCCATACTCAACTTCCATGCCCTACCGGAAACTTCATACACAAATATGAATATTCAAATATCACTTATTCGATGTGGTTTTAAATCAAATATTCGAGGGAAAATTCTAGAGAGGGAAAAAATAGAACCCAATACGATATTCCGATCTTAAGTTGGGTTGAATGTATTAGGACTTTATTATTCATATTAAACTAGGACTATATTATTCGTGTTAGACTAGGACTCTATCTAGCATCTCTATATATTCGCTCCCTGTACTCTCAGACATTATTATTGAATACAACACAATTATTTCTCATCTGGTATAAGTTAGCTAGGGTTTTCTTTTCCAGCATCCATGTTCCTCACTTCGTAGCAGTAGCCGATGGCATCGAACCAAGATACACCGTATGAGAAGCAGTTAGGTCAACGACGTGACATTGATGATCCGTGTCAAATTTGTAAAGGTTTCGGCCACAAGGGAGCCAATTGTTTTTGGCGTTATGATGATCCGTGTCAAATTTGTAACCGTTTTGGTCACACGGGAGCCAATTGTTTTTGGCGTTATGATGATCCTTGTCAAATTTGTAAATGTTTTGGTCACACGGGAGCCAACTGTTTTCGGCGTTATTCAGGGGCTCCGGGTTTTCAGGCTAATGTGGCCATCTTTGGTGATAATGGTGATTCCAACGGTCCTCATCAGTGGTTCCCTGACACTAGTGCTACAAATCATGTCATGCCTGATTCTTCTTTGATGACTTTGGCGACCAGTTATGATGGCCCGGAGACTCTGCGAGTCGGCAATGGTACAGGTTTGCCTATTGTTAATGTTGGTTCTGCTTCGTTAGCTACTAATTCTATGTCTTTTAAGTTACATGATGTTTTGCATATCCCCGATCTCTCTTCTTCTCTATTATCTGTCCAGCGTTTTGCAAAGGACAATAATGTTTTCTTTGAGTTTCATCCTTTTGTTTCTCTGTGAAAGACAATTTGACCAAGAAGGTTCTTTTTAAGGGACATGCGTCTGGGGGTCTCTACACATGGCCTGCGTCTTCTGCTTTCCCTGCTGCATTTGTTGCTGCACGGTCCTCTTACGTTAGGCACATGCGGTTGGGGCATCCTAATTCTCGAGTCTTACGTAAAATTTTAGCGTCTTAATCTGTTGGTACATTTAATTCTAGTGATCTTCCCAATGTCTGTTCTTCTTGTCAATTAGGAAAATCTTCTCGTTTTCCTTTGTCTCGTGTCGAAACTACTAGTACGCATCATTTGGAATTAATTTATTCAGATATTCGAGGCCTTGCGCCATTACTTTCAGTCTCTGGCTTTAAATAGTGGATGATTACACTCGTTATATGTGGTATTATCATATGCTTGCTAAATCTGATTTGTATGCTATATTTGATAAGTTTCGGTCACTAGTTGAACGTTCCTTTTCTCGCAAGATTATTTCTTTTCAATCTGATTTAAGGGGAGAATATAAAAAGCTTGGTCCCACTCTTGCGTCCTTAGGTATTCGTCACAGGCAATCTTGTGCGTATACTCATGAAAAAAATGGCAGGGTAGAACGTAAGCATATGCATGTTGTTGAAACGGGACTAGCATTAATGGCTCAATCCTCTGTTCCGTCTCGTTTTTGGGATTATGCTTTTGAAACTGCGGTTTATCTAATCAATAAAATGGCCACTCCTGTCTTATCTGATAAATCTCCTCATTATCTTTTGCATTGGTCTCCTCCATCTTATTCATATCTGCGTGTTTTTGGATGTTTATGCTTTCAAAATCTGCGTCACTACAGTTTCGGTCATCCCCTTGTGTCTTTCTAGGATATCCTCCATCTTTTCGTGGCTATCGTTGTTTAGACACTAACATTAACAAGGTTTTTATCTGTCGCCATGTGCGATTCGATGAGGCTGTCTTTATTTTTGTTGCTTCTGTGGATTCGCAGGTTCCAAAACCACGCCCGGAGCCGTGGGGTGTTGCACCAATTGTTTCTGGTGGTGATCTGACTATTGTCACGGCTCGTGACCCTCCTGCCACGCCCATAGCCGCTTCTGACCACCACCGCCAGCAGCCTGCTACTGCCGAGCCGTGACCGAGTCCGAGCGGACAGTCACGGACCAGCTGGCTCCTCGGCCAAGAGGCCAGCCTCGTGGTCGGTCTCGTCCCGCGCCCTCACCCGTTCGCTCTCATGGAATGAATACGAGAAGTTCGGGACCACATGATCATGTTTCTTTATCTGCTGCTGTTACTCCTGAGCCTACATGTTTTACTCAAGCGATTAAATTTCTTGAATGGCGGGATGCAATGGATTTGGAATTTAATGGCTTGGTGCACAACAATACATGGAGGCTTGTTCCCTTTAAATCAGGTATGGATGTAGTTGGATGTAAGTAGGTGTTTAGAACCAAGAGAAAGGCTGATGGTTCGATTGAGCGTTACAAGGCTCGGTTAGTTGCCAAAGGATTCAATCAGATTGTCGGTGAGGATTTCTTTGAGACCTTTAGTCCCGTTGTTAAATCGACCACGGTACGTCTTCTCTTATCCCTAGCTATTTCTCGTGGATGGACTATTCGACAGCTAGACACACACAATGTTTTCCTAAACGGCAATCTCGTTGAGACAGTTTATATGCGCCAGCCCCCTGGCTATGAAGACAAAACGATGCCCGGGCACATTTGTCTCCTTCAACGTTCTTTGTATGGGTTTAAGCAAACTCCCCGTGCTTGGTTCACTTGTTTGCATGATTTTATGGTTTCTATTGGTTTCTCTCCTTCTAAGACTGATATATCTTTATTTATATATTCACATGGAAATACTCGTCTATATTTTCTGGTTTATGTGGATGATATTTTGGTTATGGGTTCTGATTCGGCTCATGTGACTAATCTTATTGACAAGTTAGCTCTTGAATTTAAAGTTCGTGATATGGAAGTGCCCTCTTTTTTCCTGGGTATTGAGACTATTCCGTTGTCTGGTGGCAGCTTCTGTCTCAACAACGGTACATGAAGGATATTTTAAAACGGGCAGGAATGGTTGATTGCAAGCTCGTGGCCACTCCGGTTTCAACCACGAATGTCGAGACTGGTGCCGCGGTGCCATATGTTGATCCCACTCAGTATCGCAGCTCTGCAGGTGCTCTACAATATGTTACGGTAACTCGTCCTGATCTTTCCTATGCAGTCAATCGTTTGTGTCAGCACATGCACTCTCCATCCACTGTAGATTGGGCGGCTCTCAAGAGGGTGTTATGGTATGTAAATGGGACACTACATCTCGGTCTTAAAATTACTTCCTCTCCCTCTGTGGATATTCATGCTTATTCTGATTCCAATTGGGCTGGCAATCCTGATGATCGAAAATCTACCTATGGTTTTGCTGTGTTTTTCGGGACCAATCTTGTCTCATGGGTTTGTCGAAAACAGCGTACTGTGGCTCATTCCTCAACTGAGGCAGAATACAAAGGACTCGCTGATGTTTCTGCAGAGGTTACTTGGCTCGTATCTCTGATGAAGGAACTCGGGTTTGCGCCACCTTCTGCGCCCAAACTCTGGTGTGATAATCTGGGTGCTACTTATCTATGTGCTAATCCAGTGTTTCATGCTCGCACCAAACACATTGAGATCGACTACCACTTTGTTCGCGATAAAGTAGCAAAGAAGGAAATACAAGTCAATTTTATTTCTACCAAAGATTAGATAGCGGATATTTTTACTAAGTCTCTTTCGTCTGTACGTTTTAATTTACTCCGTTCCAAGCTCAATGTTTTGGCTGACCAAACTTGTGCTTGAGGGGGAGTATTAGGACTCTATTATTCATATTGGACTAGGACTATATTATTCGTGTTAGACCTGGATTCTATCTAGCATCTCTATATATTTGCTCCCTATACTCTCAGACATTATTATTGAATACAACACAATTATATTCTCATCGAATGTCGTATTGATGAGTTTGTGGGAATATTGACTTTAATTGTGTATATGGAGGAGAAACAAACGTATTATACGCTTTGGAGGTTAAAAGACGGTGTTAGCCTTGATTTTGACGTCAACTTAACCATTTTGGAACGGAAGGACCAACATTGAAAACTTTTTGATAGTCGAGGGTTTAAATTGTCTAAATTGAAAGTCGATGATCAATTGTGGAAAATCAAGATAGTCGGAGGATCAATGCTGGAATTAACTCTATAAACAATAACTTGTTGGAGAAGAAAAATAAATAAAATGTTTACTTTAAGGGTAGAAATGTCCATTAAATATATCAGGGGAGAAACCGTCACCTTTAGAATAATTGAAACGGCTAATGTGGGTACATTAATAATTTACAGGGAAAATGTGTTATAAACATATAATTTAGGGGGAAAAGTGTATTTTTCCTTTTTAAAAATAAAATTATTTCATATTCTTGCAAAGTGAATTTTGGAAATTAATTATCACCATAAGCTAAGGCAAGGGTATTAAATGAAATCTTAATAATAACCATATGGATGGCGGGTTACTCGTCTAGAGAGAGAACTGAGCATGAAATTCAAATGAGTCAGTTTTTACTTTTGAAATCATTTGTTCTTTTTTTTTCTTACTATTGACCCTGTTACATGTAATATCTGGCAGCAAATTATGCTGTGCATCCGAATGCACCATGCATGGTGCATACGATGCAAAAACGACGTCGTTTTAATAAAACGCGCGTCTCCCCTTAAAAAAATCAGGTTCAATTCCCAGCAACAACATATGAACTAAAATTCCATAATCGATAAACTATAATTCCATAATCGATGAACTATAATTCCATAATATAATCTATGAACTAAAAATTCCAGAATGAATGAACTAAAATTCCATAATCTATAAACTAAAATTTCAGAATCGATGAACTACAATTCCATAATCGATGAACTATAATTCCATAATCAATGAACTATAATTCCATAATCTATGAACTAAAATTCCAGAATGAATAAACAATATAATGTTGTTGCTGGGAATCGAATCTGAATTTTTTTAAAGGGGAGACGCACGTTTTTTAATAAAACGACGTCGTTTTGGCATCCGTATGCACCATGCATGGTGCATACGGATGCACAGCATAACTATCCGTAATATCTATCCATATACACTTTCAGCCTACTGAAGCCCAACCCAATCATTATTGTTTGGACCATGGTCCACCCAATTTGTGTGAATCATATTTTGTAATTGTAAAATAATGTACATTTAGTACAAAAATAATGTGCATTGTATTCAGAAAATGTACATTATTTTTGTAACGAATATACATTATACAATATAATGTACATTCAGTACAAAAATAATGTACATTTAGTATATTAAAAATGTACTTTTTGTTATGGTACACATAACACTATGTGGACCATGGTCCAGACAATAATTTGCCAGCCCAACGAGTCAATTCTAAACATATCATTAATTGAAAAGACACACTACGTAAGAACATTATGAGAGTCCTAAAACTATATTTTTAATTAATATAAATGCATATATTGGACCCGATTGAATAATTTTATGTTGAAGAAACTCAAATCTAGGGCAAAGATGCTGACCTCGACATTGGGTTAGGGTTTGGGTCGGCCTATATAGAGTTTTGTTGTGTTGAGTGTCTTCTAATACTTCATCTTGTGCTGCTAATTGAACTTCCTCTATTAATAGCATGATTGAAAAAATCGCTAGGCGCTCAGGCGGTGATTAATCAGCGGCTAGGCATCCATGTATTTTTTATTTTTTTAAAATGTATTTATTTATTTTTTAATTTTAAGACTTGAGAATTAGAAACTATTTAATACTTTAATAGTTAATACTAAAATTTTCCTGATCATGGTCTAAGACTCTACTAGACCTATAGAAATAAAATTGGGGATCTACAAATACAAATTTGGCATATCAAAACCATTACACTTTATTCCTAACACTTATCAGATAGTTCTTCCCGTAACAAGGAAAATAAGCTTAAATACAAGTAAAATAGCCTATTTTAGTATGCTAAAATTTTCAAAAATCACGCTTATAGGACAAAATAGTTCAGTAAAAAATTCAGTCTCTTGTCTAAATAGAGGTAGAGTCCGAAATTTCTTTTCATTCTCTACATTATCAATTTTAATTCATACCAGTAGCCTAAAATGAACACCACTAACTGTACAAATGCACACTTTAATACCATAGTTTGTTTTATAAATATTACAAATTAAAACGTTCAAAAAAATTATAAATTGTTACCGTATTTTTTTACTAAAACTCTAATCCTTTGAAGAGCTTGATGGGTGCCTATGATCAATTCACACTTGTTACATAAAGACCTTGCTCATCCTCTAAATCACCCAGAATGCACAACACCATTCGTCCAAATGCATACATACGGAGATCATTGTGCACACAATATTACAAAGGTAAAGCAATAATTATAAAATTGACCTCGTGTTTTTTTTTATTAAAATCTTTAACTATTAGCGAATTCTGATAGATGGTTATGATCAATCCGTACTTCGAAAAGGACCTTGTTCCTTTTTAAAATAACTCAAAATGCATGTCACCGACCATGCAAATTCAAACATGTTGTAGGAGGACCTTGTTCCACTATAAATAACTCGAAATGCATACAATCGACAATGTAAACACACACCTATAGTGGCAACAATGCACAACAGTACATTGTCCACGAAAAATAGACAGATCAATCACAAAAATAGATAATATTATACTCAAACAATCGAGAATTAAAAAACACACAAAAAATCATTTTAAGTCTATTATTGAAAAGAAGATAAGAATAAGAAAAACGCAAAGCAAGATTGAGAAAGAACCACACACGAATAGGAGAATATATGTGGGACACGTTCTCATTTATATGCACCTGAATATTTGAGTGTCTATATATATATATATATATATATATATATATATATATATATATATATATATATATATATATATATATATATATATATATATTTAATTCGGTATCTTGCAGCTGTCCATTCTTAATTTCCTCAAACAATGTGGGCAAGATTCTTAGGTTAAGTAATCGGATTTCCCTACCCACTTGTCCTTGTTCCACCACATCTAGGTCCATTTTCTGGAATTCCTTGCATAGTTCGTCCGCTAATACCCACGTCGTGTTAAGGGAATGATTCGATTTTCTGCTTAGTGTATCCGCCACCATGTTAGCTTTCCCCTCGTGGTATTGGATGTCCAAATAGTAGTCCTTTATGAGCTCTAATCACCGCCTTTGTCGCATATTTAGGTCGTTTTGAGTGAAGATGTACTTTAGGCTTTTGTGGGCCGTGTAAATTTTCCATTGTACCCTATACAGATAGTGTCTCCAAATTTTTAAGGCAAAGACCACGGCTGTTAATTCCAGGTCGTGGGTGGGGTAATTCTCTTCATGGGTTTTGAGTTGCCTAGATGAATATGCGATCACCTTACCATTTTGCATGAACACGCAACCCAAGCCTTTCTTTGAGGCATCACTGTAGACTTCGAACCCTCCTAACCCGGATGGCAGTGCTAATACGGGCGCCGTAGTCAACCTTTCCTTTAATTCTTGGAAGGCCACGTTGCAATCCGCGTTTCACTGGAAGGGGATTTCCTTCTTCATGAGTCTCATCATGGGCTGGCCCACTTTAGCAAAATCAGGCATGAACCTGCGATAGTACCTTACCAGCCCGAGGAAGCTTCTAACTTCCGCAACTGTTGTTGGTATTGGCCAGCCCTTAACTGCTTGGATTTTTGCCGGATCCACCATGATTCCTTTCTTGGTCACTACGTGGCCCCAGAACGCCACATTGTCTTTCCAGAACTCGCACTTAGAGAGTTTGGCGTACAATTGCTTTGCCCTCAGTGTTTGCAACACAGTCCGCATGTGTTTCTCATGTTGCTCATTAGTCCGAGAGTAGACCAAGATGTCGTCGATGAACACTATCACAAAATCATCTAGGTAAGGGCGAAACACGCGATTCATAAGGTCCATGAATACAGCGGGAGCCGTTTTAGTCAATCCGAATGGCATTACTGTGAACTCGTAGTGGCCGTATCGGGTTCGAAAAGCCGTTTTAAGAATGTCCTGGTCGGCTACCTTCACTTGATGGTACCTGGACCTCAAGTCGATTTTTGAAAATACACCCGCTCCCTTGAGTTGGTCGAATAGATCATCGATTCGGGGTAGGGGATATTTGTTCTCTACTGTGACTTGGTTTAACTCCCTATAGTCAATACAAAGCCGCTTGCTCCCATCTTTCTTCTTTACTAATAGCACTGGTGCTCCCCATGGTGAAGTACTAGGGCGGATGTAGCCTTTATCTAGTAAGTCTTGTAATTGCGCATTTAATTCCTGCATCTCTTTCGGTGCCAGCCTGTAAGGGGTTTTTGATATAGAGGCGGTTCCCGGAAGTCCACTGTAAATTCAACTTCCCTAGGTGGGGGCATACCAGGGATCTCCTCGGGAAAGACACCCGTGAACTCGCACACTATGGGGATTGATTGTTGTTCATCACCCTTGGCGTCTAGGTCTTCCACGATGCACAGGAAGGCCACACCTCCCTTAGTTAAGTATTTCTTCATTTTCATCATGGACACTAATTTAACCTCTGGGCTCTTGACGGAGCCGCGGTAGGATACCTGTTTCCCCTTCGGCCCTCTTAGGATTATTTTCTGTTTGCCACACAAGATTTGGGCTTTGAATTGTCCCAGCCAATCCATCCCCAAAATTACTTGCATACTGTCTAGTCCAAACTACATTAAGTCACTAGGGAACTCCAATCCTCCTATGGTGATCATAACATTTTTGAACATGCAGTCACATTTCAGCACCTCTCCGGATGCTACTTTGACCCTTAACTGTACGCTAGTGCTCGCGGTCAACCCGAGTCGGGTTGCAAACTCAGCTGCTATGAACGAGTTGGTGCCTCCCGAGTCAAATAAACAAAGGCGGGCACGGAATACACTAGGAATGTCCCGGCCACCACATCACTGTCTCCGATTCGGGCTTTACTCATAGCAAAAATCCTTCCCTAGGTAGCTCCGGTTCCGTCCCCCGCGGCTTGGACCATTGACACGCCCTGATTCTGAGGTGGGGTAATTCCAGCTACCTTTGGTTTGTTTGGGGAGGTCACTACGTTTCCCTCGGCTTTTCTCTTAATTGGTTCGGGGAATCTCCGAGGGGTGCATTATATCCGATAGAGCTTGGCCGCCTTGGAGTAGGCTTCATTGAGGGTTCTAGGTTTACTCACGGTTAATGCCTTTCTAGCCTCGAAGTTGAGTCCCGCAACGAATTTCTCCACCTTGGTCGCCGCTGTAGGGACCAATGCATGAGCGAAACGAGCCAGTTCCAGGAATCTCTTGTGGTACTCTACCACTGTGGCGAATCCTTGTTGTAAGTGAAGGAATTCTTCGTATATAGCTGCTCTAACGTGCGCGGGGTAAAAGCGTTCTCACAGCTTGGTCTTTAGGGCTTCCCAATTGAAACTCGGTTTTTGCCTACAGGCCGGACCCTCATGTATCCACCATAAGTCGGCCTCGTGCCCAAAGTAAAAGGTTCCCAACTCGACTTGATGCTCCACCAGGCAGCCCACTACCCTAAAGATCTTATTTGACGTTCGGATCCATTTCTCAAGTATCGCGAGATCTTCTTCCCCGGTGAAGATAGGGGGACAATGGTTTGACATTTGGCGGGCTACGTCGTGGTTTCCGTTCGGTGGCGGACGGTTGATGCTGTGAAAGAGGTTGTCACCCAGTGCATGGGCGATCTGAGTTAACTGATGCAAGTTCTGAGCCAACGGTTCGTTAGTCGGTGCCTCAGGGGTCCTTGCACGGTTTCTTGGTGATGTCATTCTAGATTCTACAAGGTTAACATCGGTTATTGATGTGGGTTAGGAACATGCACCCTTACCTGGTGTCTTAATTACAAGAATAAGAGCTAAACAGAGAGCAATCACAAGAAGGTTTTTAATAGAAAGCAATCAATAAACTCACAAGCTAAGCTCAACGCGTGTCCTAATATTCCCTTATCCTAAGTACTTAAACACCTAGAGTTCAAGCTTAACATCTTAAAGGCATTGTCCTTGTAACACCCCCCAAACAAGACATGTTATAGTCCTAGGGTCGAACTTAAGCTCTGATACCAGCTGTAACTAACACCCCCAATTTTTAGCATAATTTAAAACCCTTAAATCTTATGAAATAAAGGCGAATCTATCATTAATACCAAAATAGAGTGGAAGCTACAATATAAGTATCGGGGTGCTATGCCACATTTAAGCTTGAGAACCTAGATGCACAACCTAAAACTAACTAAACAGAGTGTAAATCATAAACATTATCCAAATACAAGCATGGCACACAGGCTGACTAACTAGAGCTAACTATCATCTAACTAGGAACCGCAGCTCCGACTAGCGCGCTCACGAGCCAACTACTCAGTACCTGAAAAACATGCAGTATAACAACCGTTAGCGAATAATGCTAAGCAACCTACTCCCACCCGTTGAATACAATAAGTAGAGATATAAGAAAACCATTTTGAGACTGGGGAATACATAGATATAGCCCTAGACAACTCTAGCTTTCAAGTCAGGAATAACTCAAGGCACACCAACAGACTTGACACGGAAAGGCACGTAAAGACACAAGCATGCAAACTAGGGAACCACAAGACAAGGCAATCAATAAGACTCAACGATAGCAACAAGAGCACAAAACAAGACATGTCCATGTTCCAACCTTATACGAAGTTCCAACCTTTATGCCTCTCCAACCGTATAATAGTTCTAACATATACCTCCAGGCCACCCTACACCCCACATCCTTATCCCTCCGGAGCACCGCATGCTCCCCGCCTACATGACCTCCTACATAACTGCCGAACTCATAGCATCCGCGATGCCTTTAAATCACACACTGGTACCGCAGCACCACACACCAAAAGTACTACGGCTCATAACACACCAAGGGTACTGTAGCACCACACACCGAAAGTGTTGCAGCCCCATTACATAAGCACGCGCAGTGCATCCAACCACTAATCATATCTTTTTCACCAATCTCATAGCATGCGCAGTGCATCAAACCCACCGACCACCCGCCAGCAAAACCAACATGTTCCAGCGGGTGGTCGTTCACCCGCCTGTCCTCCCGCTGGAAAACAACACACGTCCCGGCGGGTGGTCAGGTGGGGGTTCGTCCCCCTACCGACTACTCACTGGAACAACTCCCAAAAGGCATGTTCTTTACTCGGAAATTTACCCAATTCACCCGAAATCAAGTCCCAAACATGCCCAAACACATATCACCAATAATAAGGACTTGAATGCACATAACGATTCGACGGACCACATAATTGAACCCTAATACAAGCTTTAAGCCCTGAACAACACCCGAACATGCATAAACCCACCCAAGGATGCCAAGAACATCAAGAACATCAAGATTCATAATAAAAACCCTAAGGACAAGCTCTAAATACGTATTAACACAAGAACCTGCCAATAACCACACAAGACCAACAAGAATATCAAGAACAACAAGAATCCATATTATAAATCCCTAAGACAGGCTCTATCAAGGCAAGGTCACAAGATAACACATATCATTATTCCAGGAAGCCAATAAATCATAACATAGCAAGGAAAATAGGTTATGTAAGACATGTGTTACATGGTAGCTTTACTTAAACTCCCTACGACTTCTAGGATCTTTCATCAAGGTCCTCTTCCTATAAATCTTCCCTAGGCTTGGTGACAGGGATTCCTTGCCTAAATTCTAAGAGGGGATTTCGAATAATTGGAGAGGGAAAGGGTTCCAAGGCTTTCTAATTCCTTTTATATAGATTTGGGGATCCTAATCAAAGTCTAATTGATAATGGACCTTCTTTCCTTATTCTAACAGGCTTGGGGTTTCATTAAGGGTGAGGGTCCACGATCCTTTGTGGACCATATCAATTTATTAGGTAATCTTGACTAATTAAATTCTTCTTCAACTAATCTTTAACAGAATTAATTAAATAATTAATTCAAATTTAAAGCCGTAACACAGGGTGTTACATGTATTTTCGTGTGTGTGTGTGTGTGTGTGCCTTTGTGTGTGTGTGTGTATATATATATATATATATATATATATATATATATATATATATATATGTATGTATGTATGTATATTTGAAAGCCAAAAACTTCAGATTGCGTTAACTCATAGTAGAAACAATAAAAGGAGGTAGGGAATCCCTCCAGACCGTTCGTGCTTCGACCGCACTTACATGTTTAGCTAAGGCATGAGCTATCAAGTTGGTGTCTCTGCGTATAAACTTAATAGAACACGCGGAGAAAGAATTAATTAAACATAAACACGAATCTAAGACAATACCAAGATACGAACGAAAAGAACTGGCATCCCGAAAGCTAGAAACAAGGACCGCACAGTCCGAAAAAAACTGAACATTGTGGTATTTGTGTTCTTGTAGCCACAATAGGGCCTCACGTATCGCCATGGCTTTAGCTAAGAGGGGGTCATATGGACAAGAAAGAGGACCACTGGCAGCTGCAACAAAGGCGCCTTCCATGCTGCGCATGTAGAAGCCAAAAGTTGGAGAGCGATCCGGGCCATAGAAACCAACGTCCGTACTGCAGAATAATATTTTATATATTTTCATGTGTATATATATAAATACTATTTTGCGATATTAAATCGACTTTGGTTCATTATTTTCAATAGTAGATAAATCATAACCATTAGAGTTAACAAATCTATGATCAAGCATAAAGGCATAAAATAAATCTGCCTATTTTAGTATGCTAAAATTTTCAAAATCACGCTTATAGGACAAAATAGTTCGGTAAAAAATTCACTCTCTTGTCTAAATAGAGATAGAGTCCGAATTTTCTTTTCATTCTCTACATCTATCAATTTTAATTCATACCAGTAGCCTAAAATGAACACCACTAACTGTACAAATGCACACTTTAATACCATAGTTTGTTTTATAAATATTACAAATTAAAACGTTCAAAAAAATTATAAATTGTTACCGTATTTTTTTACTAAAACTCTAATCCATTGATGAGCTTGATGGGTGCCTATGATCAATTCACACTTGTTACATGAAGACCTTGTTCATCCTCTAAATCACCCAGAATGCACACCACCATTCGTCCAAATGCATACATACGGAGATAATTGTGCACACAATATTACAAAGGTAAAGCAATAATTATAAAATTAACCTCGTGTTTTTTTTATTAAAATCTTCAACTATTAATGAATTCTGATAGATGGTTATGATCAATCAGTACTTCTAATAGGACCTTTTTCCTTTTTTAAATAGCTCAAAATGCATGTCACCTACCA